CACGGGGGGTAACTGTATTATTAAAGCAGTATTATTCTCGGAATAGGAATTATTGAAAGAGTATGAAAATGCATAATCAGGGCTGACTGGGGTGGGGGTGGGGGGGGGTTGGGAAGAGGGGTACGTAGAGAGGGAAGAGGGAGAGGGGTAAAAGGTTACTAAGATTAATGGTAATATTTTGATATAAGAGCACACAAATCTGAGAATCTTTTTGATATTTGTCTGTTTTATTGGCTTTTGTATACATAAAATGGTAATCAGAAAGGTAATAAAATATTTAAATAATAAAAAAAAGAACAAAAATTTTATAGATAATGTGTAGATAAAAAAACGCCAGTGAAAGAAAAAGTCCTGATGGGACTTCAATATGTATGAACTATAATAAACATATAAATTGAATCCCTAATTGTGGGATCAATAATCACACTAATAGTAATGGTGACCACGAAGGCTGTAAGTTAATCAAAAATTGGGGAAAAATAGTGAATCCTTGAATATGGGATCAAATATATCACATAATTGAACAATAAAAATATAAATAAATAAATAAAATTATTAAACAAAATAAAATATAAATATGTGGTATCACAACAAAAAGTGATATTCAAAAACCACTATTCCAGTGTCACGTACAAATTGTGCACAAAAATAAATTTCAATGGTGCGTGAAAAAACACCAAATAATACAACGACTCAGAAGGTGCAGGTGATATAGTTAAATTCGCGTGACAACCAGAAGGAAATAATCCATAAACGGCTGAATTGCCCCTCACCTCCTTGAGGCGACCCAAAGGGCCAAAACGCCTTTTAGAAAACAAGAATGACCATCCACTGCCTGGTACACCCTTCTCGGATAGTATTGGTCTGCAACAGTGGTATCCCCTTCACAGGTTAGTAAACGAAGCAGCAGGATCCCCCTCAGGGATGATATGGTATAATACAGCCAGCTCACATGAAAAGGTCAGGATAGAAAAGAAATATCTTCAATAGTGTAAAACTGTTTAATGTTAATTAAAACATGTATAGTCAAATGCCCACTCACGTTTTCAAAGCATAAAACAAGCTGAAAAAAACCTCATGCTATGGGTGTACTTGCATGGGCATTTTTGGGTGTAACAAGATGGCGTCCACTCTCGAAATACGTCACCATGTTCCTACGCGTTACGTCCCGTTAACACGTGCACCAATTCACTTTATATTTTGCACATTATCCATTTGGTATATGGTTGGGTGTCAGCAGCCTCCTCCCCTTAATTGTTATTAGTCCATTAGCGTAGGTAGCGTAGGAGGTTCCTATCGTCCATTATCCACACCATTTCTCATTAAAGTATTTGTGTAATAATGTAAATATACAATAAATATTAAACATCCAGCAAAATAAGGGCAATAACTGTCCTATGTTATCCTTTGTGCTCAAACATATAAGGAAATCCATTCCTAAGGGGAGCACCACCAGTATTGTTCCCCTTATAAATAGTCACTCACTGTTCTTATGACCACTTATTATTTAGTATGGACAAAATAATGCCTTTTAATAATGCTCGACGATGGTGCTTTCATAGGTCCCTTGAAAATCCAGTAGCCTTCATTAAGTATTCCATCTCATTTGTATTGAATAATAGAAGAAGAAAACTGCATAGCATATAACCTATACAAATAATGCAACTATAAATCCACTTACAATGTGCAGTGTTTTCCAGCACAGTTTAAGGCCATCACATGTACACTGCTCACCACCATTTATTTGCAGTGATTGAATGCTTCCAGGAAGCGTGATGACGTCACATAACTCCTCCCACTCCAAGTGTTTTGCCTGAATCGATTTCCTCAGAAATGGGGTGTGCATAGTTACCTTCACTACCTATACTAAAGCTGGCTATTTTGCCCCTCCCCTCAATTCAACTACTGATAAGTGAAGTGCACTTCTGCTCCTACTATACAAAATAAATAAACAAACAGGTGCTGCTGCTGACATCAGTTGTGTTCCTACAATATCAACTAATTAAGTCAATTAATTAAAGGTGATGTAGCGCTGCTAATGAACATCAATCAGTACTAACAAACAATACAAGTGGATAAACTGTGCTCATAATCATAATGTGAATAAATGACCAAGAACATAGACCATAAATATAAATTAATGAATAATGTGAAGAAAGATACTAATGTGCTTTCAATAAATGAGTTTGTAAGTTTCCAAATATCACAAGATCCGACACTGCAACTACAATTCCATGGTGAATGTGCATGTTCGTGCTAATAACTTTGCCACTCCGTGCTCACAGAACTCTCACCTCCAACGCATGTAAAAACTGCGTGTTAATAATATGATATCTCCACACATCCAGACCTTGCGATACCTCCTTAGTCCATTCCTCCTCCCATATAATGTATATCTTTAAGATGGAAATAAACCTCCATCTCAGAGGATACCAGTCAGCTCCAATGCATGTAACACTTGCATCTATTTAACCACTTGCTCTCCTGAAGATTTACCCCCCTTCCAGACCAGGCCATTTTTTGCGTTACGGCGCTGCGTTACTTTAACTGACAATTGTGTGGTCATGCACCCAAATGAAATTTACATCTTTATTTTCCCACAAATAGAACTTTCTTTCAGTGGTATTTGATCACCTGTGTGTTTTGTTTTTTTTTTTGTACTATAAACAAAAATAGATCGACAATTTTGAGAAAAAAAACAATATTTTTGACTTTTTGTTATAAAACATGTCCAATAAAAAAAACTAATTTCGTCATAAATTTAGGGCAAAATGTATTCTACGACATGTCTTTGCTAAAAAAAAAAAAATCCCAATACGTGTAAATTAATTGGCTTACATGAAAGTTATAGTGTTCACAAATGGCGATGGCGGTATATATACTGGAATTTTTTTTTTTTACTAGTAATGGCGGCAATCAGTGACTTATAGCAGAACTGCAGGACTGCGGTGGGCATTCTGACACTGGGGGGAACAGACATCCCCAGTGACACCAATACAGTGATCAGTGCTAATAAAAAGCACTGGCACTGTACTAATGGCACTGGGCAGGAAGGCAGGATTATGGTGATGTAATGTGTAGGGTGTGGGCTGAGGCAGTTTTTGAGGAAGGTGAGGTACTGGCATCCATTGGAATGGAGGATTTCCATTATTACCTATTATTATCCTTTATATGGGAGGAGGAGTGGATAGCCCTCTAGTGGCTAAATAAGATATTGCGAGGTCCGGATTTATGGAGATCAAATACCACTGAAAGAAAGCTCTATTTGTGGGAAAAAAGGACGTAAATTTCATTTGGATGCATGACCGCGCAATTGTCAGTTAAAGTAACGCAGTGCCGTAACTCAAAAAATGGCCTGGTCAGGAAGGGGGGTAAATCCTCTGGAGGGCAAGTGGTTAAATACATGCAAGTGTTACATGCGTTGGAGCTGACTGGTATCCGCAGAGACGGAGGATTTTATTACCATCTTAAAAGTATCCATTATATGGGAGGAGGAATGGACTAAGGAGAAATCACAAGGTCTGGATGTGTGGAGATATGATATTCTTAAAACGCAGTTTTTACATGCGTTGGAGTTGAGAGTTCTGTCAGCACGGAGTGGCACTGTTATTAGCATGAAAATTCACATTCACCATGGAATTGTAGTTATGGTGTCAGATCATGTGATATTTGGAAACTTATGAACTCATTTATTGAAAGCACTTTAGTATCTTTGCTCATATTATTCATTAAGTTATATTTATGGCCTATGTTCTTGGTTATTTATTCACATTATGATTATGAGCACAGTTTATCCACCTGTATTGTTTCTTTTACAATAGATTTTAATATAGATAAAACGGCATCAGAACAAAACAAACATAGGTAAGATCACTGACATGAAAGAATAAAGCATACAATTCATCTGATGAAAGACACAATAAATGCACTGAGGTATTGACAATAAAATAAACTACCGTATTTTTCACTCCATAAGACACACTTTTTTCCCCCCAAAAAAGGGAGGAAAATGTCAGTGCGTCTTATGGAGAGAACCTAAAGCGGCCAGTCCGGTATTTCTGCCGCCATCATGTCAGAATATCGGGCCGGCCGCTCAGCTCTTCTCTCCTGCAGGACCTTACCTGTTCCTCGCTCCAGCGCTGCAGTCTTCCCGCAGTGGCTTCTGTGGCAGCAGGGTGCCCACTGCGCATGCACGAGAAGCGCTGCGCTTTGTGAATGGTCCGGCGTCTTCTGGGACACATGACAGGTCCCAGAAGGCTCTGGGCCATTCACAAAGCGCAGCGCTTCTTGCGCATGCGCAGTGGGCACCCGGCTGTCACAGAAGCCGCCGCGGGAAGAAGGAAGGACAACTCCGCGGAAGTGGGAGCGGGTACCTGTCAAATTCAGGTACCCGTTCCCCCTCCCTCCCCAAAGGTCCGCAGTCTCTGGTAATCTCCTTTACTGTCTGCAGTCTCTGGTCATCCCCTGCACTGTCTTCAGTCTCTGTTCATCTGTACTATGTCCACAGTCTCTGGTCATCTCCTGTACTGTATCCGCAGTCTCTGGTCATCTCCTGTACTGTGTCCACAGTCTCTGGTCATCTCCTGTACTGTGTCCACAGTCTCTGGTCATCTCCCGTACTGTATCCGCAGTCTCTGGTCATCCCCTGTACTGTATCCGCAGTCTCTGGTCATCCCCTGTACTATGTCTACAGTCTCTGGTCATCCCAGTCTCTGGTACTATGTCCACAGTCTCTGGTCATCTCCTGTACTGTGTCCACAGTCTCTGGTCATTCCTGTACTGTATCCGCAGTCTCTGGTCATCCCCTGTACTATGTCCACAGTCTCTGGTCATCCCCTGTACTGTGTCCACAGTCTCTGGTCATTTCCTGTACTGTGTCCGCAGTCTCTGGTCCCCTGTACTATGTCCGCAGTCTCTGGTCATCCCCTGTACTGTGTGTCTCTGGTCATTTCCTGTACTGGTCAGTCTCTGGTCATCCCCTGTACTGTGTCCACAGTCTCTGGTCATCTCCTGTACTGTATCCGCAGTCTCTGGTCATCCCCTGTACTGTGTCCGCAGTCCCTGGTCATCTCCTGTACTGTGTCCACAGTCTCTGGTCATCCCGTGTACTGTGTCCGCAGTCTATGGTCATCCCCTGTACTGTGTCCGCAGTCTCTGGTCATCTCCTGTACTGTGTCCGCAGTCTCTGGTCATCCCCTGTACTGTGTCCGCAGTCTCTAGTCATCCCTGTACTGTGTCCGCAGTCTCTGGTCATCTCCTGTACTGTGTCCGCAGTCTCTGGTCATCCCTGTACTGTGTCCGCAGTCTCTGGTCATCCCTGTACTGTGTCCGCAGTCTCTGGTCATCTCCTGTACTGTCTGCAGTCTGGTCATTCCCTGTACTATGTCCGCAGTCTCTGGTCATTCCCTGTACTGTGTCCACAGTCTCTGGTCATCCCCTGTACTGTGTCCGCAGTCTCTGGTCATCCCCTGTACTGTGTCCGCAGTCTCTGGTCATCCCCTGTACTGTGTCCGCAGTCTCTGGTCATCCCCTGTACTGTGTCCGCAGTCTGGTCATCCCCTGTACTGTGTCCGCAGTCTCTGGTCATCCTCTGTACTGTGTCCGCAGTCTCTGGTCATCCCCTGTACTGTGTCCGCAGTCTCTGGTCATCTTCTGTACTGTGTCTGCAGTCCATTGGTTCAGAATATTTTTTTTCTTGCTTTTCTCCTCTAAAACCTAGGCACGTCTTATGGTCAGGTGCGTCTTATGGAGCAAAAAATACGGTAGGTACACAGGCACAATATATGAAGAGATGACATAAAACGTAATAATTTGCAAAAGTGGTAGGCAGTTAGAGACCAATGGACTAATAAATGAAGGCCAAAAATAGTCACAAACCCACACATAAGAGATAAACACGTAGCCTCATCAGATGCAAATTAGTACTCTATACCCAGGTCTCTCAATGAAGTCCGACGTGTATATAATATATTGCTGGGACGGTTCTCTAGGAAAATTATGATCAGTGCAAATATCGTAACACACAGAGAAGAGGAAGAGAAAAACAAGGAGAAAAAGGGAGAAAGAAAGGGCTTCAGGGGATCGCGCCAGAAAAGTCCTAAATGGACAAAAGGGTCTGGTCAAATCTAGACAGGTGGGCTATATCAAGCCAGGGACGCCAAATCTGCAGAAATTTTGTGTGAGAGTCCAACAGCATAGCCGTCAGCTTTTCATTAACCATTATGAAATTCATCCGGTTCTTAACTGCCTCAAAGCTAAGAAGAGGGGTTTTCCAAGCCCTCACCATTGTTTATTTGGTATCCATAAATAGATGCGATGCCAACTGCCTCTCAGGACGAAGTAGGCCCATTAGGGGTTTAAATATCCACCTGTATTGTTTATTAGTACTGATTGATGTCCATTAGCAGCATTACATCACCTTTAATTAATTCAACTACTGCTGGCTAGTAGTTGCTGAGGAAGCTGGAACTTAATAATGGCCATATCTCACACTAAATTGGCCTGCCTTTGTGTTGTAAGGCTCCATGCACGAGGGGCATTTTGATAACGCTGGTAATGTTAGCTGTGTAAAGTCATGTTAAAAATGTGCGTTTTTCAGCTTTTTTTAGCAGTTTTGCATTAGCATTTAGCTGCGATTAGCGGCGTTTTTCCATGTTTGCGTTTTTCGGGGTTTTTTTTATTAAAAAAAAGTTTTCTTTGGTCAAAAAAAGTCCAAAAACACCGGTTTGCGGCGTTTTACCACGTTTTTCAGTTCTGGGTTTTTTTTTTTCCAGCCAAAAGACACTGATTACATTATATGTGTGCATGGACACATAGTATAGCATACTGGGGAGTTTATTTGCTGTAGAAAAAAACATCAAAAGCAAAAAACAACCGCTGTAAAAACATCAAGTGTGAACGAGGACTTAAAGTGTTTCTAAAGGCCAAAGGTTTTTTTACATTCTGTGCATTAAGATAAAAAAAAATCCACTATCAGCACCCCCCTCCTGCCCCCCAAATACTTATCTGACTCCTCTTTTGATCCAGTAATGTGCTCGTCTGCAGCAGTGTTGCTCTTTTTCCCTCTGCTCACAGTACAGGGGCAGCAGCAGGAACCATAGCCTCCTGCTGCTGTCAATCAAATCTTGTAGGAAGGGAGCAAGAGGTGCAGCCAAGCCATGCTGTGTGTGCCTGTGGATGCACACAGCCCCAGCTCAGGAGTGCACCCACACAAGTGCCTCCATAGCACACAGCTTGCTATGGGGCAATCAGATAAGATGAGGAGCAAAGAGTGCCAGTGGGAACCCTAGGAGAGGAGGTTCGGGCTGCTCTGTGTAATACCATTGCAAAGAGCAGGTAAGTATAATGTATTTAGTATTTTAAGAAACAAATGCATGTCTTTACAACCTCTCTAAAAGCTGATCATTGCCACAAACTGGTCATTCATACAGATTGTACAAGTTGTATGCATGCTATAAAACCCAAATACCACAGGCTATATATACCCAGTAAATCCTAAGGTCATTAATGATTGGGTGAAATTAGTTGGAAATTTTCCAGTGTTACTACAAACGCTTACAAAAATTAGCTCTATAAAAAATGTAAAGAGTTTAGTTATATAAAGCAACACTTTAAATTGGAACCTTACCCATAACATCTTGATAAAAAATAATGTTCTTTAGTACGGAATACACATTCCACATTAATTGTTGTGCTACCAAAATGAATGTGTTCTTTAAATTGCCTCCAGCTTTTTTCCTGGTTTTTCTTGCTGGAGGTGGCCATTTTGCTGAAGCCCAGAGCCCTTGAGCAGCAGTACATCTTTAGGCTGTCAGCAGATCGGCCTCTACACATTCCGCACAGTGCCTAAAAATAGAGAGCAACTGAGCATGTGCAGAGCAGGGTGAGACAATTTATTACTGGATTTTAAACAGTATAGGCACTTATTTTTACTGTTTTACATAGCTATATCTGCAAAAGAGGCCAGCCTGACGTGATCTAGCAGGACTTTGTTTTCTGACTAAAATTCCACTTTAAATCCACGCTCCAGACAAATGTTCTGTTTTAGTATTGCATCGAGCATGGAAGAGATGGCACTTCTATCACTTTTATTGATGTGTTTGTCTTTATTTGTCAAATTTCTTCTTGCCTCCTATTTGACAGGTGCCAGAAAAACAAGAAGGGAAGAGAAAATACCCCAAATGGGACTCATTGGGCAGCAATAAAAAGAAACAGAGAAAAGATTTAGAACCTCTTGTAGTATTTTAGTGCTGTCTGTGTCCACATAAGGGAGCTTTTCCTTTACTTTCTGCCCAGGTTATGTTCCTCAATGAGATACAGGCAGCAAATATGAAAAATCTAGTAGAGAAGATTTAGAACGTTTGATTGGATCTTATTTCTTTCTGTGTCCACATGAGGGAGATTTCACCTTATGTCCTGTCCAGATTGTGGATGTCAGACAGAACAGGAAGAGGAGTATCCTTTGTGGGAACAAAGATAGCATTTGAAATTTAAGGGTGTGTCTAATGGAACCCTGGATTGCGGAAAACCTGAAAGGGTTCTAATCTTTTCCCACTCTATCCAAAATTCTGAAAATTTCCCCTGGTCTATTCAAATTCCTTAGTGTTTGTTCTGTATCTCTATTTTTGATAATTTGGTAATATCTAGTCTATTGAGGAACAATTCCACGCATTGCAATTCATTTTTATGTTTGTGCAGTAGAACTTTAACTAAGATGAAATGAGAACACAAGTGAAATTCCCATTTGAGCATTAAACAATACAGGAGGCAGCAGCTGTCATGGGGTTTTAGGTCAGTTTAGGTTAGGGGTGCTAGGGAGGGAGGACATTTTACTAAAAATGTCCAGTAGTTGTCTTTAACCACTTCAATACCTGAAACTTTCACCCCCTTCCTGCCCATGCCAATTTTCAGATTTCAGTGCTGTCGCACTATCAATGACAATTGCGCAGTCATGCAACAGGGGTGAACGTTTCCGGTATTGAAGTGGTTAAAGACAACTACTGGACATTTTTAGTAAAATGTCCACCCTCCCTAGCCCCCTAACCTAAACTAACCTAGAAACCTCATGACAGCTGCTGCCTCCTCTATTGTTTACAAGGCAGGCAGAAATCTCCTTAAAAAAAGGGGACCCGCCATAGACTTGAACAGGGCTGTAGTCAAACAGCTGCTTGGAATATGACCCCATTTATGTTTGGGTGGGCTCATTGTGCATGCTTGGTAAGCCCTGAAGAAAATTTCAGCCCAGAGAGGTAAGCAGAGGTTTTCATACTGTAAGCAGTTGAGTAGTAAGCAGTTGAGTTGGTGGTTCTAGGGTAATTTAGGTCAGGGCACTAGAAAGGTGTGTCAGTTATCTTTTTACTAAAAGTAAACTTATTCTTTGTGTGTGCAGCCCAGTTTCTTGCAGTAGAAGAAGGGGCAATGGTGGAGCTCGTATATTATATAGCAGTAAGATTACAGATTTCTAAAAGGGAAATTATGATATTTCATTGCTGTAAAAAAAGGTGTCTGGGGTCACGGCTGAAAGCAGACATGCATTAGAAATTAGAGCGACAAACTGCAAGAAGCGCTGGATCAAAATGGTTGTCATAAAAGGATAAAATCCTGTTACACTCGATGATAAAAATAAATCCCCCACTTGCCATCGTATCTTCTATGACTCAGCAGTGCCTGCTAATAGTCTCTTGATATCTGTAAAGGGGAGAAGCAGGATAGTTATACAGTGTGGCAAATTAACTATCTCATGTGTCTCTGCTAATTAAGCAAAGTAAATGGATATTCTCAATTTATAAGTATGACAGAAGCCACTACAGGGAAAAGACTTCACAACTTCAAAAAAAAAGAAAAGAAAAGAAAGCAGCTGCTTTTGCTGTAAGTAAAATGACTTTGCATCCAACTGAGCCGCCTTATGCTTTACACAGCTAATAAGCAGGTAAAGCTGGACTCTGCTAATAAATCACACCTTTTATTTTCTAGCAAACAATATCCATGTGAAACTCCATCTCTCATCAGAGCAAAAAATTCTATTTTAGATTTTATATATATATATATATATATATATATATATATACACAGTATATACACATACTGGCCACTTAATTACTTTATTAGGCACACCTATTCAATTTCTTTCTAACACAAATTGTTAATCAGCCAATCACATGGCAGCAACTCAATGCATTTAGGCATCTATACATGGTGAAGACAACTTGCTGAAATTCAAACCAAGCATCAGAATGGGGAAGAAAGGGGATTAAAGCGACTTTGAACATGACATAGTTGTTGGTGCCAGACGGGCTAGTCTGAGTATTTAAAAAACTGCTGATCTACTGGGATTTTCACACATAACTATCTCTAGGGTTTACAGAGATTAGTCCACAAAAGAGAAATTATCCAGTGAGCGGCAGTTATGTGGATGAAAATACCTTGTTGATGTCAGAGGAGAATGGGCAGACTGGTTTGAGATGACAGAAAGGCAACAGATACTCAAATAACCACTTGTTACCAAGGTATACAGGATACCATCTCTGAATGCACAACACGTGGAACATTAAAGCAGACTGGCTACAGCAGCAGAAGACCACACCGGGTGCTACTCCTGTCCACTAAGAACAGGAAACAGAAGCTACAATTTGCACAGGCTCACCAAAATTGGATAATAGAAGATTGGAAAAAACATTGCCTGGTCTGATGAGTCTAGATTTCAGGTGCAACA